CGTCCCCCCCCCCGCCTCTGTCCGTGCTGAAGCCCTGGCTGTTACTGGAGGGTGTTGGGTGCCTCTTGGGCTGCAGACACGAGCAGGAGCCCCGCCGGCTTGCAGCTCCCGAAGCGTCAGGAACGGCCTTGCCCAGCCACGGCCCCTCCGCCCCTGCCTGCTTGGAGAGTGGGAAGGAACCAGCCACCAGCCCGCAAGCTGCACGCACTGGGCTCCCGTCCCCAGCTGTCAAATCAACGGGCCCTTTTCCAGCTACCACACACGCCGCAACACATCCCAACAGCTATTTCTTACTGCCTTTCTAGCTCCTCGTTTTGTTTGAGGCTTGGCCTTTTTGCAGGGGGATGTCTATTTAATTGTTCTCCCGCATGTGCCACAGAGGGTGGTAGGATAAATGATGAGGCAATAACAACTGATGAGCAGTCATTCACGGTTTAAAAATTTGGAGAGACGAAGAAAGTAATTTTGTTTGAGGAAGTTTTGAAAAGCTGTAATATCACAAAAATATATAAATGCTAAAAAATCATTCCCTAGATGCAATTAGTTTTATAAAACTTCTTATAGTTAAAAAAGGAAAGAAAAGGGAAAGTAAATATCCCAAAATTTCAAAAAGGCAGAGTTGGCCTCTTACTTTGCCTGCTGTGTTCCAGGGAACATGGCAGTGAGAGAGTGAGCGTCCAAGAATATTCTGAGTGGAAAATTGAGAGAGAGGAAACAAATAGCCATAGCTATTTGTAGCTTTAGAGGTGTAGCTGTGTGTATGAAGATATAGAGGCAGTAAGAAAAGTGGTGCCCTGAAAAGGAAGATGTAGCAAGAACGTAAAAGGCTGTTGCTATACTTGGAGATTCCAAAGGGATCATGATTCGGGGTTCCTGACAGCTGGAGTTGGACAGCTAGTCTCATGTCATTAGTAAAATGGCAGAAGGTGTTCACGCTTCCACAAGAAGAGTTATCAATAAGCATAACTGAGACCGGTAGTTCAGGACAGGCTTCCCCTAAGCTCAGCAGAGTCCCAGCGAGTCCACATCTGTCTGCCATGTTGCTCTAACCTGTGCATGCCATCTCCTCTTCTTCATTTATGCTGTAGTGTTATGCTCGTTACATTATAGACACGGCTTGGGCACCACAGGCACTGCTGCAACTGACCTGTGACCCTGAACCCTGTTTTCCGTGAGATGTTCGTATGTCAAAATCTAGGTCTGCTATGTTTTTAGTTTAGCGGCAGGAACCCATATGGAATGCTTTAATGACCATCATAAAGAGTACTGTAAGAGAGCCAGTAATTAGATTGCTATAACATTCTCCTCATCTACTTGGCTTCCCATATGCCGTAATATCATTTAATAAGATGTAGTAAATAGTTAGGAAGCTGACCAGCGATTATACTGAAACGGAACATGCCCATGTCCTCTCCCCCTTACCCCCACACAAGACCATTAGTTAATAAGGAAGAATTACCCAAATTTAGGATATATGGGTCAAAGAAACTGGTACAGCTCAAACCTTTTTTAAGTCTTGCAGGTGGGACAGGTTATCATTTTACAGGGATTGGTGTTAATCCAATGGAATTTAGCTAGGAAGGAAGGGAGTTTAATGTCTCTCATTGGCTGGACTGCAGGAATTACTGAAACTGAGTGTTAGTTGGTTGCCCCCATGATGTCACAGTTTTCTTGATTAAAAGTACTCAGTCCCCTCCTGAGTGAAATAAACAGGATATCAATATCAGTGCCACCCTTACGAATAGAACTTAATCGGCATTGAACATAAACTGTGTCAAGAGCTTTGACTGACTTATAGGAGGGGAGTTATGGCTTTTTGGCTTCTTTCTTGATATGGAAACAATGTCTAGATCAATTTGTGATCCTTTTAACATTTCTTCACCATGAGACCTCCTAATCTGCTCACAGGTACCATACAACTGATCAGTTTGCTGCTGTCTCCGCCTTACAGGATGGCATGTTCTTGACCCTGCCCTTGTCCAGGGATAGCTTTTCTTCCTACTACATGAGGCTGAATACCGAATTCCCCTTGGGGCCAAAAGCCACGGACCATGTACCTCAGGGGAGTGGGAGGCCATGGTTTCTTCCCAGGCGGGAAGTAATAATGGCTCCTCAGGCCTTCTGCTGCTCCCCAGTGAATAGGGCTGGGCATATAGTTCTGTCCTACAGCATCCAGCAGCCACCATTGTCTTCATTGGCTTCAAATACAGGGACTTGGATGAACAATCCCCTGTGGCAGCCTAGTCCCGCTGCCAGACGTGTCAGGCATAGACCAGCAGCTGGACCACACAAGAGTTCACGTTGCTACCTCTTCCCCAGACTCTTTCTCATAAACCAGTGTGCTCAACACTGCTGTTCCCAGGCTTTTCTATTGTATTAGCATACATCGGCATCCAAGAGGAACAGGGATAGTTCCTAAATTTAGGTCTGTTCATCTGGCAACATTATAAATTTTAAGATTAATGGGAAGGTGGCTGATAAAGGTACTTAATGAGGCCATAACTGATGTGTTACAGGAGAACATTTTGTTCCTGCGTATGCTTTTGAGGAGAATACTATGTCTTCAAAGTAGGGAGAACTCTGGGGTTTTTGTTGGGTTTTTTTTTTTAGGCTTCCAGGCATTGTTCATGACTCACCCAATTCTTTCTCGGCTCAGCTTCCGGGCCGCACATGTGGAAGGACCTGTCTCCAAATCTGTTTACTTACTGTAAATGCTCCATGTTCTGAGGGGAGACGTAACTCTGAATCTCTGGTATGCAGCTTCATACCACCCCAGAACTGGGTGACAAGCTAGGGAAAGGCTAAACAGAAAGCTGCTGCTTGTCGCCTGTTCTGAGGTAAAATGTTTTGCGCTGAGTGCTGCTGAGCTCTCTTAAGTCAGCTGAGCACTGTGGGAAGAATAGGACTTTGGTTGGGAGATTCACTATTACTCAGCATGTTTGCTGAGTAAATAAAGTCACTGCTTTTTCCTTTGCATTTCTGCACAAGTTTGCAAGTGGTGAGAGCTCAGCCGTGGAGGGCTCTTCATCACTCTGTGCCTTTCCACTTGGAAAAGGTGAAACCCTGTCTATAAACAGCTAATGCAGTCCCATATTACAGAGCACACCGCCTGCTTTTAACACCTAACTTGTTCCCTTTTTGTGCAGTCATCAGACCTGTCTGCTTTTAATAAAGGCTTGTGGGACTCTGGCAAACATGACTCCATCTGTCTGTTCCACTTCAAGGCTGTCAGTGTTCATTTTAGGCTGCGTTTCTTGCAGGCAATGTCTCTCTCTGTTAGCTGTCCTTACAAGGTTTCTTAGAATTAGATCCAGTCAGCAACACCAAAACGAACAGAAGCGTTCACTGTCCAGCTACCTACATAAACAAGTTTGTTCCTTGTAATGAAAAACAATACAAATGAAAAGTGAGTGTTACTGTTCACATAGCTCTACGTCAAATTCACTGTTATATCCTGATTCAGGAAAGCAGCTTTATCAAGGAAAGGACTTAAACATGTGTTTGCAGTTAATTAAAAGGCCGCCTTTGAACAGAGGCGAGTTAAGCGTGTGCTTACATGCTTTTGCCTGTGACCTGTGGAGAAAGACTGTAGCTGTAATTGGCATTAAGATAGGAAATGAAGAATATCTTGCTCTATAAAGAGATTTTTTTCTGCTACCTGGTTACTGTGTCTGTGAAATCTGGGCTCTTTGGGAGTCAGTGGCAGAACTCCAGACAAGTTGAGGGGGTCAGTATATCATCCACTATACTTCTTCTGAACCTTGCAAAGCAGATTAAAAAAAACAGTACTTTCCTTTCCAAAATCTTTTCTCCCCCATAAAGAAATGACTGTTTTAAAAGTATGCCTTTCTTATGTCCAG